TAAATTCAGAAATACTCTTACATTTTTAGCAGAAAAGATTTATTGTTTAAAAGTTAGGGATTATTTATCAATATTTTTTTCAACTTTGCTGATATTTTTTTATCTTTATTATGATTAACCATGGTTTGTATGTATTATTAAATAATATCTTTTAGGTTAGTAATCTTTTATCAATATGTATTTTAGGATCCTTGATTAAATTATTTAAAATAACATCATTAAAAGATGCCCTTTAATTTTTTATACCCATTATGATTGTGGATATATTTTGTTCTATTTATTTAAGTTAAACAGTCAGATATGAATGGGATAGTGTTGCATTAAGATACTTCAATACTCCACTTTCAGCATAATTTCCTTATTTTCGTTATATTTACAAAAAAAAATGTGCATGGGTTTCTATTTTCAATTTGCTATTTCCTGGTAAACTATTTATACAAAAAATAAGGCTTCTTTTTGGGATATGTTAATAGGTTTGATAAACATAAGTAAACATACGTATATGAAATTATTGCTTTCTTTGGTTTATTAGTTGGACTCATTTTATGGGTTCTCATTCAATATATATTTTCATTTCCTTTACCAACGTAAATAAAATATATTAAAATTAGATCTATCTTTACCGAAGTTTTGATGATCCTCACTACCACCCTAGTTGCTGTTTAAAGGAATGAATTCAATATTTTTTATTCTGGTAACTTTTATGATCAGATACTTATGGATCCATTCAAAAATGATGTTGCACTTTAAGAACCAACGACGTTAGAAATGTTTGGATTAGGAGCTACTACTTAAGTAATTAAGAAGGACACTACATAATAATAAGATTTAGTCTATAGAGGAGAATAAGGATTAGTTTTAAATAGTCAACTTTTTGTAGGTTTGGCTTCAATTAATCGTCCATAATAATAAAGCATTCTATAATTCAAATAATAAAACCATTACCATAATTTTTGAAAAAAAGATTATTATATATTAAATTAAAATAATTTATATTTAAACTCTAATTTTATAATATATATTTATATCATTTTCATTTTGAGCATTCGAAAGGATTTAATATTTAATACTATATAAAAATCATTTTCATAATTGATTATTATTAATTATTCAATATTTTAGCTTATATTTCTAAAACAACATTGAAATGTCATTCTTGGAAAATTGGCTAAATAATTACAATTTAAACGATCTGAATTGGCAATAAAAATACGAGATGTTTATAGATAAAATTGAGTCTTCCAAATTTTTAGAACATAAATTGCATATCAACAAAGAAAAGATATTTCATCGATTGTTAAAATTAAGTTAGGGATTCTAAGTATGGAAAGACTTGAAATTTATTAAAAGAACATGAAAATAAATTATGATAATGATAAAAATTAGATAGATTCGCTCTAGAAAAAGAGTGATAGTGGATTATATTTAGTTAGCTGGAGAATAAGATAACTGTTTTGGGATTTAAGAAAATTAGAGCTTTTAAAAAATCCTTAAAGTGAATTAATAAAATTATGAAATTTAATCACTAACACTAATTCTTTTTACTATAAATTGTTAGAAGATTGAAGAAATTTCCCACCTACACAAAAGAATACACATACATTATTTAGCAATAAAAATATTAGAGGATAATTACCAATTAGTTGTAAAGAAAATTATAGATTTAATATGAATGTAAATAGTGACAGTCGATGATAATTTAATTATAGAATTTGATTGATTATTTCAATTTTGATAAAAATTAAAATATTTTTTATTGGAGCAAAAGATGTTTTAATGATTCAAACAAAATCCCTTGATATTTAATAATATATTTTTTAAATTTTTTGTGGAAATCAGATAATGAAGTGCAGTTCGAAAAGGTGAAACTCGATTATTTTAATAATGAAATGAATAGAATTATTATATAATCACATAAATTGGAAGATATTTAAGGAGAAAAAATTGGAGTGTCGTGGGGTTGATTTTGCGTGAAAACTTTATTGAGGTCAAATTATATTAAAGTTATTGAATGAGATTTGAAAATTGGTGATTATGTGGAAGCTTGAAAAATAACAAAAATAGAGTAATTTATATCCTTATTTTAGTAAAAGTAGAGAGAGGAATTACAAGGAAAGAAAAGTCGGATGAGGTTAATATTTCTCAAAGAAGTGATGAAAACTATCTTTAGGACAGAAGAATGGAAAATTATGCAAATAAAAATATAATTCTGAAAAGAAGGTTAATAATATATTATTTATTTAAATCATAATTTTAGAAAGATGGTATTTATTATGAAAATGAAAAATGGATTAACTTTTAGAGTAAAGATAAAGAATAATATTATTTATATTAGGCTCAATTAAACAAGCGAAAAAGGTTTATAGTAAAAACAAATTTATAAGAAAAGGTGGATTAGGAATTAGAAAATATTAAATTAAATAATTAATCTTTTATAAAAGTGGAAAAAAATTTGAAAATAGAAAATTGTTTGTAAGAAATAGTGCATGATTGAAGAAAAGAGAGTAAATTGCATCAACATTTTTAGGATTAATTTTAATTTTAATTTTAATTTGAAATTAATAATAAATGAGGATTATTGAAAAATGAGTTAGTGGAATTTTAAAATGGAGAATATTTATTTAACCATTGGAGAGAAGGTTATTATGATGAGAATGGAATGAAGAAAGGAAAATGGATTGAATTTGGTCATAAATTTCTAAAGTAATAAGTTGATATTTCCTAAAAAGTGAGATACTTTAGGAGTTTAAATAAAAATGATGAAAATAATTTTAGATTTTATTTGAATATTTAGAGTTTATGGTTTAAATGATGATCAAAAATAAAAAACCAATAGCTTGAGGTTTGGAATATTATAATAAAATATTAATAATTGTATGGAAGTATGAAAATGAAATGAAGCAAGAAATTAGGAATAAAATAAGTTAATGTGAATTGTATATAAAAATGAATTATTGAATAAAATTAGATGGAAATGTAAAAATAAAGAAAAGATGAGTTTAATAGAAAGCAATAAAATAATGATGATATAAATACATATATATAAAAGTATTGAGTTATATATATATAAAATTGATGTGATAAATTGAGTAATAATAAAAATAAATGGGAAACACTTAAGGGACACCAAGTGATTTGGATTCTTTTAAGAAATATGGTGGGCTTACAATAAAGCATGTTATGTTGTTAAGGTAGAGTATAAAAATAGGATTAGAGAGCGACTTGAAATGTTATCAGAGGCGGATTTAAGTATAACAAAAGATGCATTTTCGTTGGCAATGAAGACAAAAGAGGAGGAGACAGAGAGAGTATAAATAATATAATAATAAAGATATTTCGAATATTTGATTTGAGTAGTTCAGGAAAGATTGAAACATTAGAATTTGTATGTGCATTATCTTTGATGGCATATGCAAATTTAAGGGTATGATATATAGATGAATATTAGGAAAAATGTGATCTAATGTTTGGATTGTATGATTTTGATCGTAATAGAACAATGAATAAATAGGAATTGATAATATTGATAAAAACAGTTCTAACAACAATAAATGCAATATCATCAAAGGGTGAATGTTCAATATAAGAAGCAGTTGGGATAGCATAGGTTATATTAGATCGTTATGATACGAATGGAGATGCATCTATTTCAGCAAAAGAATTCTACAGTTTCATTTCAAAAGATCCTGATATAGTAAAAATGTTATTAAGTTATGGATTAATATCAATATAAGATTTAAGATTTAATTTTGGTGAACCATAGAATGCTGACTTACCAGTACCTGAAGCAGATAGTGATTTAGAAAATGAAATATATAAAAGTAGGATAATAAAGACACCGGAAGATGAAGCAGTAGCTTTAGGAGTAGAGGTAGAAAGATAAGGAAGTGGAATTGAATAATTACCATGGTATTAATAATTAGCTAGAGATAATATGATAATGGATCCAGATGATCCTGAGGATGTAAATGGAAATCCACCTAATGCTACTTTAGAAATTGATCATGTTTATGGATTTAGATGTTATGATAGTAGAAATAATGTTAAATATTCTCTGGAAAATGAAATATTGTATCATACAGGTAGTTTAGTAATAAAGCATGGAGATAAATAAGAATTCTTTATGGAACATACTGATGATGTTACATGCCTAGATGTGTGGGAACATTTAGTTGCAACTGGATAAATGGGATCAAAACCATCAATCTTTGTTTGGGATTCAAGATCTATGGAATTAAGAGCTGTTTTTAGAGGTGTACTTTCTATTGGAGTTAGTAATTTATGTATTTCAAATGATGGAAGAAAATTAGCTGCTGTTGGAATGGATGAAGATTAATGTGTTGTTGTATATGATATAGAAAAAGGTACTTAAACTAGAATGAATGGAAAAAGAGATGAATCTTTATTAGCTAATGGTAAAGGACCTATTGTTGAAATATTTGATATTAAATTTGATAAATCTGATAAATAAATAGTTATTGCATGTATGGGAGAAGTCAATTTTGTAACTTATGAAAATAATGTATTAAGAGTGGTTAAAGGTATGTGGGATTCTAAATATTGTTCTTATTAAGCTATATTATCAATAGGCTTATTAGAGAATGCTGTTGTTGTTGGATCATTTAAAGGATAACTACTTTTATGGAGAGTTGGTAGAACTACTATGGCTATATCTGATGCACATAAAGGACCTATTACTACTATTCATACTTGTACTAAAAAAATTATGATTCTAACAGGAGGTAAAGATGGTTAAATTGGATGGTGGGATCATAATCTTAAAAAAGTAAGAGCGTTTAGTCTCAATAATTAAAAAGATATCCTATTAAATAATATTAAAATTACTGCTCTCTATGAAAATTAAGATTAAACTAGTATTTTAATTGGAACCAGAGGTGGATAAATTTTAGAATTATAAAATAGTGAATTAAAAGTTAGAGTTAATGCACATTTTGATGGAAAATTAGAAGCATTAGTTTGTCATCCTACTAAAGATTTATTTTATACATCTGGTGAAGATCAAATGTTAATGTTATGGGATTTAAGTACAAAATAATTAAAGGAAAAAAAGAAATTTGATTATTGTATTAAAACTTTAGATGTTAATGATCGCTTTTTAGTTGGTGGATGTGTTAATGGTACTGTGTTATTATTGGATCCATATAAATTAACATAATTGTAGGATTTTAAAGATAGAGACAGTGAAATAACATGTATTAGAATAGTTGATGAATATTTAATTGCATTCTACTCTTCTCCATATTATGAATTCTTTGTTTATAGTATTAGATAAAAGTTTAAGAAACTTTTATCAATACCTGGCAGACCAGGGAATTGTATTTCAATGGATTATTCATTAACAAAGAGGATTTTAGTAACGTTTGATAATCAATAGATTTGGTGTATTGATTTAGATTAAAGAACTTTAATAAGATATAAGGAAGATGATTGGAAATCATTTACATCTATATATGGATGGTAACTCAAAGGAGCATGGCCATAAAAGAGTGATGGAACAGAGATAGTAACAGGTGATAGAGATGGTTCAAAATAAGTAATAGCGATAGGAGACAAATATGGATAAATAAAGTTATATAAGTATCCTGCTTATAAATAAAATTGCAGTTTTTATAGATATTTAGGACATAGTGGTAGAATAAGTAAGTTAAGATTTTCATTTAATGATAAATGTTTAATAAGTTTAGGAGAGAATGAGAAAAGTATAATTTAATGGAATTTTTAGATAGAGTAGAATGTAGTAGAGAGAAATAGTAGTGCAAGTCATTCTAGAAATAGAAGTGTTTTTAAATCAGAGGTTGAACAATTTGATGATTAAATGGATGGAAATGATAATCAAAAGACAAATAAACCATTTCTTGATTAAATAAAGATGGATGAAGGTGAAGAGGAAATAATGAAATTACCAGAAAATTATTTAAATTTACGATATATATTTGGAGTAACAACAAGTTATAAGGGAAATACTTTATATTAATAATTAAAATATGCAGGTCAACAAAAAATAGTATATCCAATAGGTTGTATATGTGTGATACTAGATACAAAAATAGATTAGAGTGCTCCATATCGAAAATAGAATTTTTATTATGGACATTCATAATTGATATTAAGTTTGAGTGTACATCCAAAAAGTTAAATAATAGCTACAGGTACAATAGGAGATGAAATAAATTTATGGGATGTAGAGAGTAGATAAACATTAGTTTAGATTAGAGGATATCATAAAGTTGGAATAAAGATTTTAAAGTTTAGTATAGATGGTACATTATTATTAACATGTGGATGTGATTAATTCAATTCTATATGTGTTTATGATTGGTAAGCTAATAGAATCATATGTAATTCAAAAGTAGATAAATCATCATTGACTGATTGTTGTTTTTTAGGTAATTAAAAAGTAGTTTAATTTGTAACAGTTGGTAAATATATGAGAGTATGGGAAATAAAAGGAAGGAATTTATCATTTGATTAATTTCCAGGTTAATTAAGTGCAGTAACATTTGCATTTAATAGTGAATTAGTATGTGCAAATGATTAGGGAGAGATAATGATGATAAAAAATAAATAAACTAATAGAATAATGGGTCATTCTGGAAGAGTGAATGTATTGATTGCAGTAAAATAGAATTTATATTCAGGTGGTGATGATGGTAAAATTATTTTATGGCATTCAATTTAAAATTAATTATAATATATCTAACATTTCATAGAGACATAAACTCCACCATTATTATCTATGGATATTAGAAATGATAATATAGTATTTTTAACAAGTACTTGTGATATTAAGGAATTAGTAATAACTGCATAAATACATTCAATTGATATAATAAAAGGTCATGGAGAAGAAGTAAATGGATTAGCAGTTTTTAAATATAAAGTTTATACTTGTAGTAGTGATAGAACAATTAAAGTTTGGGATATTAGAAATAGAGTATGTTCACTTAATAGTGAACCATATCAATATTAGTTGAGATCAATTGATGTATATAACAGTTTAATAATATGTGGAGATGCCAAAGGATTTTTATATCTATTAGATGAAAAACTTACACCATTAGTGAGTGGATCTACTAATTTTAATTTAAAATAAAAAACAATAGCTTATGAGATATCAAGAGTTAAGTTTTGTCCAAGAGGAAAAAGAATTTGTATAGGTGCTTAAGGTGGACCATCACATGTCGAAATTTGGACAATTAGTTAAGCAGATAATGGATATAAATTCGATAAAGATAAATAAATAATAAATTGTGGTTTTACAGGAGGTATTATGTAAATGGATTGGTCAGAAGATGGTAATCATATATTAGCATCTTCTTTTAATTATGAATTAAAATGTATATCATTAAGTAAATAACGTGATGTTCAATATAATTATGATATCAAATGGTAAACATGGTCTTGTATTTATGGTCCTGGATTATAATACATATATCCAAATACTCCTGGTGAAGATATCACATCAGTTTGGTTACATAAAACTAAAGAAATTAAAACTGATACAGGAATCAACAAAGAATATGTATTTATGGCAGGAGATAAATATGGTAATTTATATTTATTTAAATATCCTATTACAGGAAAATGTTTTAGATCTTATAAAGGACATAGTGGTCCTATTAATTGGATTTAATTTTGTATGGAAACTGAAGCTAAATAATATGCTATATCTGTTGGTTAAAAAGCAATCATGGTTTGGTAATTAGAAATTGATGAACCAACTATTTTAGATCCAGAAATTGAAAAACAATTAGGAATTAATGCTTAGTCATAAAAAAAAACAGGATTAGAAAAATATGGAATTGTCTAAAATTAATAAGTTAAAGAAGATGAATTTGTAAATAAGATATCTTTAAAACCATGGGCTTCTAATATTAAAGAACCTTCTTCATATTATAAAGATCCAATTAATTAAAATACACCACCATTAATTGATTTAGAATTAGAACATGCATTTGGTTATAGAGGAAATGATTGTAAAAATAACATTAGATTCTTAAAATCAGGAAATATTGTATATCATTCAGCTTCATTGGGTATTGTTTTAGATATGAATCTAAATTAATAGAAAATATTTAATATGCATGAAGATGATATTATAACTATGGATTTACATTAAGATGGTATAAGAGTAGCAACAGGTGAAATTAATACTGCAATTATTTATGTATGGGATAGTAACACTTTGTAAGCTTTATGTAAATTCTCTTAATTAACAAATGGTATAAGATCTCTTCATTTCTCACCTTTTAACTAATTGATTGCTGTAGCCATGGATGAATTCACAACTATTGCTATTTTTGATATCAATACTAAATGTGAATCTGGTGGTTCATTAGCATTTAAATATTAATCAGGAAAATAAGTTATTAATGAAATTAAATGGATGAATGAAAATATTTTCTATACTATTGGACCTTAACATCTTAAAGAATGGAACTTAACTTCTTAAATCACTATTACTAAAATACCCATTTAGGATAAACTTATTTTGAACACATTCTTAATTGATGATGAGGATATCTATGTTGCTGATAATAGAGGAAAAGTTCTGATATTTTAGAAAAAGGTTTTGTCACATACACTTGAGCATCATATCTAGTAGGTAGATGCTCTATTTAAAACTAGAGACTATTTATTTACTGGAGGTAAAGATTAACTTATAACTATTTATGATGCTAAATAAATTAAAGAAGATTTCATTCTTCAATTCAAATTATTAGATCTCAGCAAACAAGCATTTTATCCCATTATCAGAAGTCTTTGCTATTTTGAAGAGAAATTAGTTGTAGGTACATTTGGATGTGAAATTTGGGAATTAAGTACAAAAGATACTAAACTCACAAATCAAACAAAATTCACACCAAAGATTATGATGAAAGGACATTATCAACCATAAAGTTAAAGTGAATTATGGGGATTAGCTATTGAAGGAGATTTCGTCTATTCATGTGGAGATGATGCAACTCTTAGATAATGGAGTGTATCATAAAGGAAATAAATTCTATTCATTAGAACAGTATAGGATTCTAACTTTGTAGATATAAAACCTGATGAAAATGGTGTATATCCAGATAGTGTTAGAGGTCGTTCGATAGCTGTAAATTCTGATTTCGTTATAGTGGGATTTAAAGATGGAGGTGTAAGAGTTTATGATAGAGAATTAAAACAAAAGAGTTATTTTAAAGTAGCAAAAGATTGGATTTCAGATATAAAATGTTCACCAAATAATGAATATGTAGCATTTGGTTCACATGATAATTGTATCTACATATATAGATTACCAGAATTTGTAATACATTTAAAACCACTTAGAAAACATAGTTCATTTATAAAAAATATAGATTTTAGTTTAGATAGTACGAAATTAATATCTACTTGTGGTAGTTATGATCTTATCTTTTGGGATGTAACTACAGGTAAATAAATGCCACAAGGTAGAAATATATTAAGAGATGAAAAATGGGCTAGTTGGACTAATACACTTGGATGGCCAGTTTAAGGAATATGGCATGATGATTATAATGGTTAAGAAATCAATTGTGTTTGTAGATCCAATTCTCCATTTGCACCTAAATAGCCTGATAATTATTATTTATTAGCTGTTGGTAATGATTTTAATGAAATCCTTTTATACAGGTAATTAACTTAAATTATATTTAGATATCCATGTATTAATAAGAAATCTGAACCAATTTAAAGAAGAGGACATTCTTCACCCATTTCATAAGTTAAATTTACTTAGGATGATTAATATTTAGTGACTATGGGAGGGGAAGATATGACAATCCTTTTGTGGAGAGTCATCAAAAAATTATGAAATTTATATTCAAGTCATCATTCATTATCTTAAATATCATCATCTTCTTCTTCATTTTTCTTGACTTTCTTTACACCTTAAGCTCCTAAATTATCAACTATTTTAAAATTTAATTTATCATACTTGTTTCTGTCATCTTATTTTGAATTACTTCATTAGCTTTCTTTAATCCATCCATTAACTAAATTATATTATCATATTCAAATTCATCATTTGTTATTTCAATTCCGTTAGTTTTTATTGATACTTTTATAAATGACATTTATTTTCTATATTTATATTATATTTATAAATTAAATTCATTCATTAATATAATTATATTTTTTAACTAATGGATTAACAAGATTATCACAAAATTGACCCAACTATTATAGAAGATCCTATGTTAGATGATGGTTACACTAGGTAAGTTCTTTACTATAATAATTTGATTAGAAAATTTGGAGCTTACAAACCAAAATTCCATGGAACTACCCCAGGTTATTACCCATTTGAATGTATTGATTACTTTTATGTCATTCTAATGACTATTTTCACTTGGGGAATCTGTTTGCCTATATGGTATGGATTAATTGAAGCTGGTATGTACATTAAATCTAAAAATAGCCAAGGCAAATTCGAAATAATATGCTATAGTTTGTGCAGTAGTGTTTGTAGGATTCTATGTTATCCAAGCTTTAGCTACATATTATGGTGGAAGAATGAAGAAAGTGATTGAGAATCAAATGATTGAGGACAAATTAAAGGAGATGTAACAGAAAGAACTTGATAAGTAAAAACTTCTAGCAGCAATTTGAATAATATTAATATATATCATATATTATGATTTATCGTATATATATATGATGATAGCAATTAAGAACATTAATAGTAATTATATGTTTTATTAACAATTCAAAGAATACCCAAAAAATTCATAGAAAGAGAAAACATAATAAGAGCGTAAAACAATAAAATCAATGGATTGGAATTGTAATGGTAATTATTTAGGGACATCAAATGATTCTTCAATAAAGATTTGGTCTTTTGATGGAAATAATATTAAGAGATTAACCGATTTAAAATAAGGTTCAGAATAATTGGAGAAACTATTATTTCATCCAAATCAACCAGAAATTATAGCATCAATAACAAAAGAGTATGTGAAGATATGGGATATACGAACAAAACAGAGTATAAGATAAGAGAAGAAAGAATAAATGGGTATAGCTTGTTGGAGTCCAAATGGTAATGAATTAGCAGTAGGTACAAAATAAAATAAAGAGACACAGATAATGTTTTTAGATATGTAAGGAGGAGAAAGATCAATAATGTATTAACCAAAAGATAAAGACAAGAATTTTGAATTAAAGAATATAATGTATGATAAAGATGTGTTTGTAGCAGTTGGATAATAGAATGGAGTAGGTATGATATAATTTATGGATGTTAATAATCCTTAATTACCTCCTGTTCATTAAATGGAAGCACATAGAACTGGAATAACTTAATGTAGATTCAGTAAGGATGGTTAACATATGTATACAGGTGCTTAAGATTCTTTAATAATGATTTGGTAATTACCAGATTTATTATGTGCTGGATAATTGATGACAATAGAATCAGAGATTAAATCAATGTCTGTTTACGATAGTAAGTATATAGCAGCAATTGGATTAGAAGAATAAGCATATATTTATTAAGTAGATAGATGTTTAGCAGGAAAAACAGATCATATTGATTCAATTAAATTAGAAGGTTAACCATCAGAAATATGTTTCCATCCTCATAAATTCATATTAGCTATTGTATGTTAAGATAAAAACAAATAGGAGAGTGTGATACATTTATATGGAAATTTAGGTGTTTGAATATTTTGTTAAGTACAATTATTGATATGTATATATATATCAAAATATGGTTTTGTAGAAATTATATGATAAATCATTTCTTTTTGGATTTACGCTTTTCTGAGAATTTCTTTATCCAAATATGATCCTTAACTTATTGTAAGGATAATCTATTTGTAGGATTAATTTCAAATAATCCAGCAATTAATTCTTTTACATCATCATTAACACATTGCCAAAATTCATCTTAAATATCATAATTGCCATCTATAACATTCTCTTTAATTTCTAATAAGATTTCTGAACAAAAAGGATGATAACCACATAACATAAAATATAGAACACCTCCTAAAGCAAAATTATCAATTTTGGAAGTTAATTCTTTACAATGTTAATAAACTTCAGGTGCAATATAATTCATAGTTCCACATTCAAAGTTCTCTTTTCTTTCATTCAAAATAGATAAATAATTAGCAAATCCAAAATCAATAATTTTAACTTATTTAATTGAATTCTAATTCAATACAATCATAATATTTTCTGGTTTAATATCTCTATGTACAATTCCCATTGAATGTATACATAATAAGGCTTCTATTAATTATGATAACACCATGGCTGCTTCTTCTTCAGACAAGTATTTCTTCTCTTCTACATAATCATATAAATCTCCATCTTTTATTAATTCTGTAACTAAATATATATGACTTCTATTCTCAAAACTCTCGACTAATCTTATTATATATGGATGATTTATCAATTTCATAATCTCAACTTCATGCTTTATCGCTTCTACTTGATTCATTGATATCTATTATTTATTTATTATTTTCAATGCATAAGTCTCCTTTGTCATCTTATCCTAACACTTATATACTACCGACGATTAACCCTGTCCAATCTTCTCTAATATCGAATACTTTTTGCTTATCTCTCCACTCCCATAATACTATCATATTTACTTGTTATAAGCTTGCAATGCACACTACCACAACCTAAATTGTTTATCATCTTAACATCCATAACTCTTACCCTTATACTGTTTCCCAACATGCAATATTTCAAAACCATACTTCTAAACTTGTTGGTGTACCTTTTCTTCTATTATTAAACCCTACAAACAAATCACTTTTGATGGGCTTTCTCCCTTTTTAACGTACTCTAACAGTACATGTGGATAAAGTTCACAATATTTTTATTTTGCCTCTTATTTCTTTGATATTCTATATAACTCTCCTGACATTATTAGCATTCTATATTGTATTCATCTCATTCTTACAATTATTTATAATTTGCCTATTTATCTATCATCCCCCATATATTATAATTAAATGCTGTGTAAAGAGGTTGGATTAAATTTGGATGTTTTCCAATAAATGTCTAGAATTCTTACAATGATAATAATTAATCATGTTTATTCTTATAAACTAAATCCACATATTTTTTAATTAGTAAACTTTAATTAACACACATTTCTACTTTTTAACCATCAACCTTATATTTAATTCATAATATACTTGAGCTGTTATTACTAATCCAAATCGCTTTTAAGATAAACCATTCTCTTATATCATACTATCTTACACAAAAAGCGCATCTGATTACTTCGAAAAACAACTCTATAAACCTTCCGAAATTATTTTATTAGAACTCTCAAATTACTACTCAGAAATATTCTAACTCTATTTTCTAAATTGTTGCACTTTAACAATATTTTATTATATATACCTGACAATTCCAATATATCTGCACTATTCTTATACTTTTTATTACCATGCTTACGTCGATTACCAAAATCATTAATTATCATAGATTCATCTAAAAATAGCTAATCTTCACAAATCTTTTTTAATTCATATTAAGGATAATTTTGCATCTATTTCTAATCTAATACTTTATATACCATCTATAAAAAATCACTTTTTGCTATCCCCTTCTAATTTTGTAAATCATAAAGCTCAAATAAATTCACTATTCGCTATTCATCTGAGCACTTTATATACATTTCCATTCCAGCCAAAAATTCATCAAAATTCATATAGTCTTCTTGCTTATTTGTAAACTTATTAAATATTTGTTCTCCCCAAAATCCCTACATTAATAATCTATATGCTACAAACTATTATTTAAAAGAAGGTATTGAATGTATCTCTACTTAATAATTAATTACTCTATCTTGAAGCCAAGTCTTTGAAAATAAGAGTCAACATATCCAGTTCAAATTGCTCAACTACACTAAATTTCAATGCTTACATTATCCTAAGTATTTTTAAGCAATCAATTTATGAGTACTACTTTTCTTTGGTCTTCTTTGAATCCCACACCTTAATGCACCTCCCATAAGTTAATAAATATTCAATATTTTTTTTTTTACCGTAATTTTAAACTCAAACCAAAAATCATTCAACCCAAGAAATTCATTGAGTCACTTATTATAAAAACTAATTATTCCTATTTTAGATTCTATTCAACCATAACAAAATAAAAAAGAAAACTTAATTAATTATAAACATCTCAATTCTTAAATTTTAATAAACTTAAATCATCCATCAAATTATTATCTTTTAATATTCATTAATCCATTTTTGGAATTTTTTAATTTATTTATTTTTTCTTCTTAACACTACAAAAATAGCTATATCACTTCTTTCATCAAAGAATTAATTTTCAAAAATTCAATAATAAAAACCTTACATCATAAGATTTGTATAATTCTAGCATAATATAGAATTTATAAATTTATTTTTATTATCACATATTCACAATTTAGCTTTTTTATCACCAATTTATTTTCCACTATATTTTTTGTCATATTTAAGATTAATTATCTGTATAAACATATTTTAAATGATGAAGATAATTCTTGGGTATTGAACACTAAATTAAATTTGATTCTCATTTAATTTCTGAATTACTTTAATTAAATTATTTTAACTGTCATATGAACAAATTGGTCGTATAATAAGTTAAGAGTATATTCAATAGCCTTCCTAATAAAGATTTAGATAAATTACTAAATTTGTTACTTGCAGCAGGAATCACAAAAAATTAAAAATAAGTTGGTTATAAATGTTTAGAGTGTAGTATTATGTATACATAATCAAATAAATAAAAAGGTTTAAAGGGATTAATGCAAGTGGTTTTGGGAGAGATGAAACTGAAGCTGTTCACATTTGTTTAAAAAATTTTATTGACTAAATGTTAGAAGAAGAAGGCCATTTATCATTTTTGAGAAATATTTTAAGAGAACTAAAATAATTAGACTTTTAAGAATAAGACATTGAATAATTATAATAGAAAATAGGCAATATATCAATAATACAAAATAATCAAAATTATTAAACTGTAGATAGTTTGTTAAATGGAGAAAATGAACAAATTCTAGGATAAATAGTAGATAATAAACCAAAGAAATTTGAAACTTTATAAGATAATAATAACAAAGAGAATATTTAAAATTAGTATTATAAATGTTGTGGTCATGAATAAGAATTAAAAAAAGAGAAAATGAGGGTTGAACATTTAGAATTAAGAATAAAATTGATATTAGAAGAAAATAAAATTTTGAAATCTCTTCTTAATGAAAAGAAAGAGAGTGCAAGATAGGAAAGTAATCGAGAAGGTGATACTAAAAGGATTCGTTAATAAGTAAGATCAAGTAGTGTAAAAATGAATAAAATTTAATAAATAAATGGAGTGCCTAAATTAAATCTAGATGCACTTCCAACATATATGGGAAAATAGAAAACGTTATTTTGATGATTTTTCTATCTAATTAGTTTTATTTATTCATTTTTTTTTTTAAATTTGAATTGTTTATTTCTTTGCATTTTTATTTTAAAATTATTATGTTAATTGTTAATTTCTAGTAGAAATAGTTTAAATTGTATTTGTCTTACTTTGTTGTTAAGAATTTAAAGTGAGGCCTCTACCTTTTTTTAATTAGAGTCTTCTCTTTATCTTTTTTTTAAAAATATATCTTCTAATGCATTTAATGATTAATTTGATTGCTCTTTTTCTTTTAATTAATCTTCTATATCTCTTTCTTTATAAAAACCCTTTAATAAATGCCTATAATTTGATGAATTTTTTTAATCGTTTGAGTCTACGAACATATCTTTTAGATTTAATCACAAGTCGATATGATTATATTTTCATTATAGCTTTGACTCTTGACAATCCCTTATTCCTAATATTTACCATTGCTAATCTTTATTTATGTCTACCATAAGCTTTTAAAAATTTATTTAATCCATCTTAAATAATTAATAATTTTTTTTATCTTTTTGCCAATTTTATTCTAAATAAAGATTGCAAAAATAAAGTTGATTATTCTTTTTCTAATCTTTTTCTCAATTTAATAGCTTTATATTTTTTATAATTTTTTTAAATGATAATTGCAGATCTATGATTTTTAAGTAATTTTTTATATGTTTTTTTTTAAATAAAACTAATTTAATTAGTTGATATAAATACCATTTAAATAGTGAATTAATTTTGGCACTTTATTAAATTCTTTTTTTATATAAGAATTTCCACCATCTTTGAATTTTTTTATATTAAAATAGTTTATATTTCAAACCATTTGCTATTTTCTTAGAGATTTTAATAACGATTAATTATTCTAAATATAAAAAGGCTAATTCTTTTTTTAATTAATTCATAATCATTTTTGCTTGATTACTTCTAAATCTACATTAGATTTTAGTTGCCATTTTGGCTCTTTTTAAATGATATCTCCTTTTTTTGGCTAGAAATGTTCTTATAATAGTTTATAGTTTAGTAGCAGAATAATACTTTTTTAATCGTATTCTTTATAATTTTGCGAGCATTCTTCTTGTATATTTTTATATAATAATTGCATATTTAGTATCTCTTAAGAACCATTTAATTTTTTTAGCTTTAAACATTCTATAAAATTTTTAAATAATTAAAGCAGCTAATGATTCAATATATCTTTTATCAATAATTTTTTCTCTTTTAATATTACATTTTTATCCCCATAATTCAAATTATGCATCATTTTGTTGATTATTATTATTATTGTAATTATTTTCTTCATCAATTAGTAATTAGTAATAATATTATTTAGGTTTATGAAATTGATCACCAAAAATAATATTAAACATACTTTCAGCCATAGAATCTAACATTTCATGCAACCAATCAGCTCTTTCAGCACATGCTGGTGATAGATTAACTTCTAATAACCATGGTTTACAATATTGATCTAACATAATATCAAAACCATATAATTCAAAACAATATTTAGATTCACCTTCAAATTAATCTTATAATATTTTAAGTGTCTTAATCATTAAATCATTACATTAAGGTCGAACTATCTTTTACCAATCAACTGGAAGCCATTACTACATAAAATCACTACTGTAAATAGAATCATTTTAGCTAATGTATTATTATTGCTCACTTACTTCTTAAATTCTGATTTATTTAATGAGAAATTTGTCAAATGCTTTAATAAATTTTTTGTATCTTTAACATCATATGGTTAACTACACATTCTCATATAACAATGACTAAAAACATATGCTTATAGTGGTTAAAAACTTCTTACTAAAACCCATTATCTTAAATCAAATTTAAATCCTTTATATAACAATGGTCTTTCTATATATTTTTATACTAATCTAGCTTGCATTTATAAACCACTACTTATTGCTTCTGTAATATCTTTCTCTAAATAAATTCCTTATCCTCTTGCACAACCTCCTGGCTTTATTATCCATATATTGTTTATTCCATCAACTTTGTAAGCTTAATCATATTTTTTAAAAAACAAATGATATCTATATAACTTTCTTATCATAAACTAACTTGGATTTGAACCTTTATCAAATTTCTGAATTTGAGAATATGCTATTAAACTATATATTATTATATTTATTAAATACTTTAATCTAGTTTTCGAGATATATTGATGACTCAATTCAAAATTCTTATCATCATAAAATCCATCTTTTAATTATCTTTTCATATCTGATAATCTAGATAATACTTCTGATATTATTGAACAATCAAACTTTATATCTGAAGGTTATTTTGAATCTTCCAATTCTTATCCTGTATAAATATTTTTGTATTTTCTCTTAACAGTTCTCTTTATATCTATTCTTCTAATTTTTTAATTCTCATTCTTTATTTTCCATTCCTCTAATATTTTCACCTTCATCTTCTTCATTTCAGTTTTCCTCTTCATTTTTAATGTAGCTATTGCCTTTTTTAATATTATAGTCACTGCAGTTCTTTCATACTCTTTAAGAAAATCCTCTCTATCTATTGCATTTCCTAAATCATATGCTCTTGGAAAGAAAGTACTTGTATCATATCCATATTCATATTAATTTTTGAAATTTGCTAATAAACATGATTTTGTTGTGAGTTCTTTAGTATTACTAAAATGATTATAAAATTATCCATCTAATAATGTTTTAAAATCATCAGGATTTTCTGTATAAACCCATTTAAGATCAAAAATTTATGAGTTACAAGATGTTTCCAACCAACCATGTCTTTATAAACATCTACGAATATACTCATCTTATGAATTAAAACAAAATAATTTTGTTGCTATTGATATATTCTATCTTTTCAAATAATCATTCATTAAAGAACGATGATTAAAATAAGTTTTATTCTTCACTAATGATTCCATATTTGCCTTTTTTGTTTATGATTACTTTCTTTAAGATTCTTATGATATTGTAGTTTCTATGCTGCATGATTGTCTTGAAAGTCGAGACTAAGATAAAAGATTCTAAACAGCTGGTTTCATCAATTTCCTAAATAATCATCTTTAGTAACTTACAGTGGAGTCCCCAAAGAATCTTTAGATTATCGCTTTATTTCTGGGAGTATTGGTAATTGTGTAGTAATTTTAGGTTTTGGTATAATTTATTATTTCATATTATTTTAATATAACTGTTTAAAAAAATAACTAACAATATTCATTATTTATATATTATTTTATTTTTCTACATTTATCTAAACTTACTTAAAAATATTCTTATTAATCCTAAATTAATATTCCATTTTAAATTAATAATATTACTAATTTATGATAACAATTATTTCAAATAGTCATATGTTGATAAAGAATTGATTTAATTATTTATATTATAGTTTATACTGATACAGAGATTCTATATTTATTATTTTACCAAAATTAATTAGATTTTTAACCCTTTAATATTAAATATTGATCACATTATTTAATTTATTTTTTTTCAAAAAATTTTGCAACACATTTTTTCCTATTTTTCTTAAGGTTGCTATTGAATTTGAATTTTAATTGAAGGTCTCTTATCTTAAGTAGATTACAATTAAGGTTAATTATTTGTTGATTATTCAGTTATCTTAACTATTCCATTTAATTTATCTTATATATCCATAGCAGACATTATTAGTTTTGTAAATATACTCATACTTCGATCCATTCCTAAATTTTCAGTTGCAGAACATTCCGAATAATAAACATTTTATGGTAATTTTTTAGTTGCAAGCTCTATAATATGATCATCATTCCATTTTTCGGATTAACGAATTCCATTAATTGGATGAATATTTTTTTAACCAAATACAGAAACCTTATATTCAGTACACTTTTCATTGATTTAATTAATTATCTCATTATATTTAGGACAATTCCTTTCTAGATCGCCCATTGTTCCTAAAAAATAATAATATGCATTTGTTTGTTTAGCATTTTTAACACATAATTAAAACCATGTATTTAATGCATTTTCAAGTGTTACCATATTATTTAATGAGAATGCTATGATATATATATTGCTTTAAAGTAAAAATGCTCTAATCATGGCACTAAACATCTATTTAATATAAAAACATATTCTTTATTTCTCCAGAAGTAATCCATACATAAATCTTTTATGTTGTCTTATTTGGCAATAGAATTCTAGATATAAAGAAATCTACAGATTATATTTATTTATCGTTAACTTTTGATTCAATATTTAAGAGACATTCCATTAATTTACTTTTACCTACAGATTGATCTCCAATCAATATTACTCTAAGTAGATCATTTGCATATACTTAATTTTTCTCTCCATCTATTCACATAAAATAGAAACACTATCCTATTCCATATATATTAATTATTTATATAATAAAAATATTAATTCATTTTTCACTTCTTAAAATCTTAGCATATAGTTAAACAAATTCTTTTTCTAAATTTAATGATGAATGCAGTTTTTATATAAGTTAAAATGATTCTAATTTTTTATGAGTAAAACCTAGAGGTTAAAGACAATTTAGTAATTTTATTAATGTTCTAAATAAATTATCCTTTACTTCGACTTTAACTTAAATCTGATTAAATTTTGATCTAATGTGATGTATAATTTTTAAGTATATTTAATTGAATACTTCGAAAAATTTTTAATCATTCTCATTTTACAAAAATCCTTGTTCATATAACTCTAACTATTATTTTTCGCGTTTTTTAGATGATTGCAAATATTCATCATACCTCCTTTTGATTTGAGTATAAAATGATTGCAAATTTTTTTCATTAGATTGGAAATTACGTAAAACTTTTTCAAATTTATTGCTCTACTTAAACAAATTAAAATCGCTTGGTAACATTAAAATTGACATTAGGTTCTATCCTTTTAAAATTCTTAAATAAAAATTTATTTCATTTAACATGTACTTTACAGTTATTAATGTATAATGAAAATATTATGATTTTGAAAACTAAACAATACTATTAAGACTATAAACATCCCTCATTAAGTATCTGATAAATTGAAGAATATCTGAAATATAAATAAAATAATTAAAGATATTTTACACCTTTTTATCTTTTTCAAAAGTATAATTGATTAGGATGGTTTCCTATTAATAATTTAATCTTGAATTACACTTTATGGATAAACTATCATTTGTGAAAGATAATCTTTAAATAACTCATTCCAACTTATTCTTTTCTCCGGATCTACAACAAGCATTCTCTTCATTAACATTATAACATCAGAACTAACTTTTTTTTAATCTGGANATAAAGAAATCTACAGATTATATTTATTTATCGTTAACTTTTGATTCAATATTTAAGAGACATTCCATTAATTTACTTTTACCTACAGATTGATCTCCAATCAATATTACTCTAAGTAGATCATTTGCATATACTTAATTTTTCTCTCCATCTATTCACATAAAATAGAAACACTATCCTATTCCATATATATTAATTATTTATATAATAAAAATATTAATTCATTTTTCACTTCTTAAAATCTTAGCATATAGTTAAACAAATTCTTTTTCTAAATTTAATGATGAATGCAGTTTTTATATAAGTTAAAATGATTCTAATTTTTTATGAGTAAAACCTAGAGGTTAAAGACAATTTAGTAATTTTATTAATGTTCTAAATAAATTATCCTTTACTTCGACTTTAACTTAAATCTGATTAAATTTTGATCTAATGTGATGTATAATTTTTAAGTATATTTAATTGAATACTTCGAAAAATTTTTAATCATTCTCATTTTACAAAAATCCTTGTTCATATAACTCTAACTATTATTTTTCGCGTTTTTTAGATGATTGCAAATATTCATCATACCTCCTTTTGATTTGAGTATAAAATGATTGCAAATTTTTTTCATTAGATTGGAAATTACGTAAAACTTTTTCAAATTTATTGCTCTACTTAAACAAATTAAAATCGCTTGGTAACATTAAAATTGACATTAGGTTCTATCCTTTTAAAATTCTTAAATAAAAATTTATTTCATTTAACATGTACTTTACAGTTATTAATGTATAATGAAAATATTATGATTTTGAAAACTAAACAATACTATTAAGACTATAAACATCCCTCATTAAGTATCTGATAAATTGAAGAATATCTGAAATATAAATAAAATAATTAAAGATATTTTACACCTTTTTATCTTTTTCAAAAGTATAATTGATTAGGATGGTTTCCTATTAATAATTTAATCTTGAATTACACTTTATGGATAAACTATCATTTGTGAAAGATAATCTTTAAATAACTCATTCCAACTTATTCTTTTCTCCGGATCTACAACAAGCATTCTCTTCATTAACATTATAACATCAGAACTAACTTTTTTTTAATCTGGATATATAATAGGACTTTCTTTTTCTTATTATAAATCACATTGTTTTGAAATGTTAAAAGGGATTTTACCATATATCATTTCATAAAGTATGATACCTAAAGACCATATATCTGCTTAAGCTGAATACTTTCCAGACGATATTTCAGGTGCAGAATAGAAAGGAGTTCCCAGATTTGTATGCACTCCAACTTCATACAAGTCATCTAAAATTTTAGAAAATCCAAAATCCGCTATTTTAGCTATTCCTTTAGAAAATAAAATATTTTCTGGCTTTAGATCTCTATGAATTATTTAATTCTTGATTAATTCTTTATACCCATTAAGAATTTATTTAAAGATCATAAGAATTTCTTTTTAAGAAAGGTTATTTATATCTAATTTATCTTTAAGGGATTTCCCTTCACAAAACTCTAAAATAAAATAAAAGTTCTCTTGATACTAAATAAAAGCAATCATTCTAATAAATTGAAAAAATTACTTTACAATATTTTCACTTTATAATTTCTATTAATTTTCACCTTCTCTTTTGATATTTTTCATTTTCTAATGATATGATTATTTATTTTTTTCATCTTATTTTGTTTTAATAATCTTAATAGCAATTTGTTAATTTTGATTGCTTAAAATATATCCACCAAAAACAGAAGCAAATTATCCCTATTATATTAATTTTTGTATTTTTATATACTTATCCAAGCATTCTTCTTAAACATATTACATATTTATCTTCTAGAATTTAGATATCATTAAATTAATTATAATGATCCATTCTCTTGAAATAAAAATAATCTAAAATTATATATTTATATATATTAATGTTTATGGTAAAGTAAAAATGGTGTTTGTTGTATTAGGTAATAAAAAGTAATGATGAGTGAACATAATTAGTATTTGATAATAAGTAATATTGTTTTGTTATAATAATATATTAGATATATGTGATATAAAATAAAATTAATTAAGGTATATATAATACGTGTGGAATTATTTCTAGATTTTACTATGATGTGGTATCTTTTGATTTTATATGAAGAGAGTGTATGATATTAAGGATAAATTAAATTAATGGAATAATAGATAGTGTTTAAGGAAGAAGCAAGAAAGGCCTTTTTAGATGGTGATGGAAATGTTGACTTTGGAAAAGTTTAAGCAAGATGGAATGAATTAGCAAAAGTAAAGGTGAGTTTAGGAAATAAGTATTTTACACCAGAAGTAGTTGAATAAGTTAAGAAATTATCAGGAGCTGATTAACAACGTTTCTTAGATATTATGATGGGTGGATTAGCTAATGATGATAGTTCAGTTGGAGTATATGCTACAAGACCTGAAGATTATGATGTTTTTTCCTTTTATTTATAACCATTAATTAGAGATTATCATAAAATAGAAGGAGAAACCAAATAAGAGCATGATTGGAATATCCCAGTTGATGAATATGTTTTAACTAAAATTGATCCAAAATTAGAAAAAGTATCAATGAGAGCAAGAGTTGCAAGAAATGTTAAAGGATGGAATTTACCACCTTTAATGAGTAAAGAAGAAAGAATTAATTTTGAAAATAAAATGGTTGAAGCATTTGAAAACTTTGGAATAAAAGGAAAATATCATAGTTTGACACCTGGACATAAAAATTAAATAACATAAGAATAAGCTGATGAATTAATTAAGAGACATTTCTTATTTAATGATATGACAACAGATAATCATTTAACATCATCAGGTGTTGCATCTGATTGGCCATTTGGTAGAGGTATTTGGATTAGTGAAGATGAAACTAAAATGATATGGGTTGGTGAAGAAGATTAATTAAGAATAATATCTATAGTTTAAGGAAATGATCTTGGTAAAGTTGATTAATCATTATATTAATTACTTACAGGTATTGAGAAGAGTGGACTTGAATTTGCAGAACATCCAACTTATGGTGTTGTAACAACTTGTCCAACAAATATGGGAACAGGAAAGAGATAATCTATTCTTGGAAAATTCCCAAATATTACAAATGGTGGAAAAGATGAAAAAAAATTAAAAGATATTGCTAGATAATTTGGATTATAAGCTAGAGGAATGGGAGGTGAACATTCCGCTATGGATCATGAAGGAACAGCTGATATTTCACCATCTGCCAGATTTGGTGTCACTGAAGCTGTTGTTACAAGAAGACTTTATGAAGGACTTATTAAACTTTATGAAATTGAAGCTTAAGCTGGAAAAGAATAATAATAATAAGCATGAGTATTATTTCATCAATCAAATAAACACAAATCAACTTTCTATTATTATTTATACATTTAATTATATATCTAAATAATTTTATACTCTTTAAATTAAACTTAATTCAAATTATATCCTACTATATATCAATTTTATTTCTAGCTATCCTATTAGCATATTTAAATATATTTATTAACATAAATCTCTATAAAGAATCAATATTTTATGAAAACTCAAATCATTTTGTAATTTAGCTTCATTGTTACAAAAAGTACATTATCTTTATATATATCAGAAAACCATAATTTGAATTAGAGGACAAGAATGAAATTACAATTTAGAACAAATCTTCAATAAATAATAATAACTTTCTTTAAATCTTCAATTTCATAATTGTCTTAGAATGTATATATATTCATAATCAACTAAATTATTTAAAATTATTGAAAATGAATTAATTTACCATTATAAGAATATTAATTTTTATAAATCTTTATAATGATGCAGATATCACTTAACAAATTAAAATAATAAGAAAAATGAAGGATATTTAAATATTATATTAAATAGAATATCAAAGATAAATAAAAAAATTGATAAATAAAGGATTCAATAAATTGAAGATATATATTTATATGATCATAAATTATGAAAGTATTAAAATAGATTGAATTGTTTTTTTATTTGTAAAATAAGTATTTCAATTAGAGAAATTATTACGTATTCTAATTAATATAACAAATATACTAGTTTAGAGTAATAACTTTGAACTAAGAAAAATTAAATAAAAAATGATGATGGAGAGGAATTAGTGTTGTGTTATATTTTAATAAAAAAGATTTAATTTATTTTGAATTATTCAAGAAGATGACATTCATAGTAAAGACCAGAAAGGTACTCTTAAACAAACTTTTAAACAGAAGACAATTAGTAAAATGATAAATAAACTTTAGAGTGTTGAATTGCTCCATCCAAATAAGGCCACTCCCTCTTAAGAATCAGTTGTTAAAGAATTAGCAAGCAAATATAAGGCAGATGAAAGAAATGTTGTTGTATATGGTCTTAGAACCTAATTTGGAGGTAATAGAACAACTGGATTTGCTTTGATCTATGATACATAATAGTAATAAGTTTAGAATGATTATAGATATTTAATGAAATTTGAACCAAAATTCAGATTGAGAAGAAGAGGTATCATTCCAAAGAGAGATGGAAGTAGAAAAGGATGGAAAGAAGTCAAATCTAAGTTAAAGAAGACTAGAGGTTCAGAAAAGACAAAGATTTATATGTCAAGAAAGACAGATAAGAGAGAGGTCATCAGAGCTTAAAAGGAAACTTACCTTAAAGGTTTTGTTGGAAAATGAGTGCATTTATACCACATTTAATAGTACATTATAAATAAATATAAATATTTATATTTTATTTAATTAATATTCATTTAAACTTTTCTTATTCTTGTCCTAACTTTTCTGTAGTACCATGAAAATTAATGATTCTCATAAGTTTTTCAAATAAATTGGGTAATTTATCATTAAAATTATCTTTAAATTTAGGCATGCTTTCTTATTTTTAAAGAAGCATAATTTTTTCAGGACCAAGTGCATTTTTAATGTAAACTTCAAAGTTTTCCAATTTATCAATTTTATCTTCATTTTCAATTATTTCAACATTTGGAAATAATTCTTTAAATAAATTAGTTATATATTCTGTTTTTTCAATGAAATCTTTTTCTTCATGTCTTGTAGTTGATTAATGTTTATCACAATTTTAGCATCTAGTAATATTAACATAGAATTTGCCTAAATTCCAATTATCTGGAACCTGAGGCAAATTCAAAGATTCTAATTCTGTTTCTGGATCCATTTCAAGAGGCTTTAATAATAAATAAGATACATACTTAAATTTCTTCTATTATTTTTTTTGAATTTTAGATCACAACTCTAATTTGTTTATCTTATATATTAAATTTGACTATTTTTTAATTTTCTTATAATTCTAATTCATGACATAATGTTATTTCACTTAATTCTCCTAATAATAAAGAATTAGTTTCTGTTTTTATTTCATTAATTTAAGAATCATTTGAAAAGATAAAAATAATTTTTTTTTATTGGCTTATATTTAAAGTTCCAACTTATGCTCCAGGTAAATGTACAAGAGGATAAGTTTGTAAGGATTCATTTTTTAATTTAACATCTAATTAAGTTAGTTATTCATTTTTATTAATTGAAACTTCAGTAATTTCAATAGCATTAGATAATTCTATTTCTTATTCTTCTATTCCTGTAGATTTTATAATTATTTCCTTATAAGAATATTTATAAGATTCAATCATTTAAGGTGGTTGAGGTTCACCTTTTTCTTATTCCTTTTTCTTCTTTAATTCAGCTCTAGTCATAATACATTCTCTTAAAACAATCAGAAAGTGATCATAATGAATATATTTTTCTTTGCCATTTGTATAGATGACTTCCATTAATTCACATAAATCATGTAATTCTTCAAAAGTAACTCTTAATAAACCAACAAATTATATGTAATTTAAAAATTATTTATATGGCATCATATAATATGGAGATAATTGTATTTTAGGTTTGATAATTTTATGAAATTTAGTAGGAGGTAGTTCATCATTTCTTGGTGGTTATAATAATTATAATCCCAAAGAAATATAATCATAATTTTCAGTGAATGGACTTAACAGTCTCTTATAATTAAAATTAGTATATAAGAATTTTTTAAGTTTTTCAACTGAATATTTTCTACTCCATTATGGTTATTCTTATATTTCTTCTGGTTTAGTTTCTTCTGTTTTAGTTTAAGTGTTTGCTAATTCATATTAATTTACTAATCCAGCTGGAATAGTTCGATTATTGATAATAACTGCTTAGGTAGGTGGAGGAGATTTAGATCTGCTTCCTGATTTTGGAGGAGATTGTTCATGTTGTTATATTAGAAAGAATATAAGATCTCCTGCTGATAAATATGATATATTTTCTTTCTTTTATCCATATCTTCTACTCATTTTTTTAACTCCATTATATTTTTAATAAAATGTCTAATATACTTCTTTAAAAATATTCATTCTCTATAAATTTTCTGTAATTACTAAACAATCTTTTAAAACTAAATGATGTGTTGTATATTTTCCAAATGATAATTGAGCTTCTGGGAAAATCAATGATGTAGAAATAGATACTTAATCATCTCTAACTCCATTTAAACATAAACCCATATCCATATATTATCCAGATTCATTTAAAATCAAAGCTAATAATTAAAATTCTCCTAATTTAATTGGTAACTATGAAGTTACAGTTAATGGATTTTATTATTTAGTATTTTTCGGATGATTATTAGGAATAAAAGTACTATACACTTATTTTGTATCTAAATATACACCCATCTCTAATAACTTTTTATTTTCTGTACTAATTTTAAGAATAGGTAGCATTTCTTTTGAATTTGTTCTATCAATATTCACCCAAAAACATATTGTTAAATGTCCTTTAGATCTACTAAAATCAATTTCTGAAAATTTTAAATGAATTTCATCATTTTAATGATCTTTTGAAAATACCTTATCTTCAACAAATATTTGCTAAAAAGTATTATTTCTATGAAGTGGAACTTAAGCTTATTTCGGAATTATTTTAATATCTTTACTCTAATTCTCTAGTGCTCCTTCTAAAATCTCAACTTTATCAAGTGCTTTTTACAATTCTTCATTAAGTTGATGATTCTTCTTTTCAAATCCTTTAATTTATTATAAATATCTTTCTTATTAATCTTCTGTTCTTTCCTTATATTATGCAAACTCATTATCATTCTTTTTTTTCTCATTTTCTAAATTTACAAATTTATCCTTCCTTTCCTTAAGTTCCTCAATAGTTTTATTTAATTAAATTTATAATTCATTTCTTTAAGTCTCCAAAGATACTTTCTCTTCATATACTGAATTAATTTAACTTGCTATCTCTTTTAATTCATCATAATTCTTTTTTGAATCTAAATCTGCTTTCAATTTTTCTATTTCTACATTTAATAATTAAACCTCAGTTTTATCATTTTAAATCTCCTCTATTCTTAAAAGTAATTATTACTTCTCCTACTAGAATTCAATAACTTATTATTCAAACTAAGATATTAATTTCTATTATTCTTATTTTTGTTACTCTAATTCTAATTTATCATTTTACAATTATTAAATTTACTTAGCATTATTTTCATTTTCTTTCATCTACTTTTTTAATTTATCTGATAAATCTTTATCTTAATCCTAAAACTCTTATAATTTATCATTAAGTTTTCTTATTTCATCATTCTTTCCATCAATTATCGTTTTTTATTATTAAATTTCTTTTTAATGTTGAACTTTTATATCTTCCATATCTTATTTCCACTTATTGATTTCAGAATATAATTAATATGTTTTTTTAATCTCATCATCTAATTATTATTTATATTAATTTGAACTTTGATTTGCCTATTCAATCTATTCATTTAATCTATCAATTTTTCTATCTTAATCTTATTTCTCCCATTTTAATCCTTCTAATTCCTTTTTCATTTAAAATACTTATTATTTCAAATCTGAAATCTCATTATTCTATAAATCTATTCTTTCCATCAATACTGTTCTTTCTTTAGAAATCTCTTCATGTTGTTATTCTGCATATAATAAATCTTAATCTTTCTCTTCAAGTTCTTAATTTAATCTAAGTATTTCAGTAGAATTAGTTTGAATTGTTTATAATTATTTTTCATTTAAATCTGACAATTCTTTAATTTTAACAACAGCCTATTCTACTTCATGTTCTTTTTATTAAACTAACAAATCAACTTATTATAATTAGATTTCTAACTAATTCAAATCTCTTTTGTATTAAACACTTTATTTTTCTAATTCCTTATATTTTTTCTACCATCCCTTTTCTAACTCTTCTTTCTCTTATCTAGCTACATCATCAAAATTCTTTAATTAAGTTTCCAATAAATTTAATTTATTCTATATAAATACTTGAATTATTTATTACATTCAATAATTTATTTTTCTTTTCTTATTCTTCAATCTCTTCCACCCTTTATTAAATAACCTTCTTTTATTTTGCAATTTCATCTTATAAATTCTAAACCTTATTCACTCTTGTATCTAATAACTCAGCATGTAATTATTTTGATCTTCTTTACTCTTCTTCTAATTTCTCACTCTTATTCTTCATTTCTTATTATAAAAATGCACTCTCACTATCCAATCGTTATAATTTCTTCTATAATTATTATATTTATGTTTCCTTCTCTTTCAATGTCTCCTCCAATTTATTTATTCTAATTTTAAATTATTCATCATGAGTGTTACATTTCCTTTACCAATCCTATACTTCTAATTATTTCTCTCTTAATCTTCTATTAATCTATTCCAATGACTCATTTGACATCTATAATTTATGTAATGCATCATGAAGATCATTCTCTATTCCTTGCATTTTCAATAACTTTTCATATATTTCCTAATACTTTAATTACCAATCATCTCTTTATACACCTAACATTTCTATCTCTTCCCTCATTAATTATTAATCCTTCTCTAATTCATTTTTTAATTATTACAATTGTAATAATTTCGAAATCAATCCCTCACTATTATAATTTTTAACCATCCAAATTACATTCTCCAATTCATCCTTTGCTTTTATTGTTAATAATTCACTTGCTTCCTTAAATTATTATATTCATATATTATACTAATTTTGCTACAAGATGTTTAACTTATATTTCGAAATGACAATGATGATTAGGTCCCAAAAGTTATTTCATTCCTAATATTGAATCTATTTAAGCAAAACTAACATTTTCTTCTTTTTTACCATGTACATATTTTGAATCATTACTTTAATATATTAGAATATTACTTTTATTTTTCTCTTGTAGGTATTGTAGGAAATGATGTTCCCATAATTTAAGATCTCTTATAGAATCCTCCTCCAGATGTTTCTTAAGATGATTTTAAAAAATTTTGCTATTGAGGTTTCATGATGTTGAATGATTTCTGTGATTGACCATTATTCTTGATTCGACGCACTATGATATAATAGAATGAATACAATTCTTTCTCTAAGAGTCTTAATGAGGAGAGATACTTCTTTCACCGTATTTCCTACTAAGAGATTCTACCTGATCAGATTTTTAATCTAATTTTTCTTAAGTATTCATTATTAATAAAAATAAAACTGTATTTTTGTTTATGTAAAAACATAAAAGATAATTACAAAATAATACATGATTAACATATATAAATTAAAATATATTGTAGCTAATTAAATGCAAGGGATTCTGATACAATAACAATAGTTTACATAGCAGTTGATGCGTATCATATGTAAAGAATTCGAGCCATCAGAAGGACTAGAATTAGAATTAAAACATGTAATGGAGTCTTTCTTTATAGAAATCAAACAACTAGAATATGAAATGAAAGAATCTATAGGTAAGTATTGTAATAATTGTGCAAAGTACAAGTAAAATAGCTAATCATACTAGATAATCAATAATTGATGAATTTCACGATGTATAGCACGATTAATGGAAACACCGTTATGATGAACTCAATACTGAGTATCTTATCCTTAAAGCATGCAATTAACAAATTGAATTATAGAAATGTGAACTTTAGTAGAAGTTAATAGATTAACGGACTAAATATGAAGAATTAAATAGATAAAAAAAAGAGGATAAGGATAATTATCGTCAATAATATGAGGCTCTAAAAAAGAAAGCATAAGATAAGATTCATAGATTAAAGGATAAAATCGTTGTTTTTTAGACATAACTCTAAACATATGCAATAGAAAGTGAACATCTTCGTATTATTGCATCAGAAGGTAAAATAAATTCAAGTCCAATATCTTCATCAATAAAATTAAAATTAAAAACAATTCTTAAAGAACTTCACTAATTACGTAATTTATCTAATACAATCCTTTTGGAAAATTCGAAAATAATTTTATAAGCAAAAGAACAATTATAATTGTTAAACTTCAAAAAGGATATTTAAGGTACAATTATACGAAGAAACAATACTCCTCCAGAACCAGCCAAAATAAAGTAATATTATTCTCAAAGTCAATCTATACAAAATAGTCCAGATCGAAAATTGAAAACAGAAAAACCAAGTATTATAAGGAAATTAAATGTTACTAGATCATCAATAAGTAAGAATTTATTAGCAGAATTTGATGCCTCTGCTTAGATAACAAAATTTATTAAATAATACTATAATGCTGATTAATAATTAAGAAATAGCACAGGGTTTCATACAAAATTATTTTGATAATTAAATAATGACATACTTTTAATTAATTATCTCATTACTTTATCAAAAAATATCTCACTCCTTCTGAGTTTTTAACAGCTATATCCTAAATTCTAATAGAGGAAGCCTATCCATTAACGTAATCCAAACAACTTATTAACTCTCGTTGATTATCGAATTTCAACAAATATAATGAACCATTTAAACTTAGAGCAGACACTTATTTTTCTCTTTCATCATTAAAGAATTCAGCATAACCCAAGATTGCACATAGTTTAGTTAATTCATTATCTTTAAACAAAGTGGTCACTTCTCTCTCAGCTTAAACCTCTTAAATTATAATTCTATTAAGTCAATTACATTCTAATGATTCTATTTGCTGATTCTTCATTATTAAAAAGTTACCAAATTTCTCGTTATTTTTATGACTATAAATCAATCCAAATAACTAATTCTCATTAAGTTTCAATTATGCTTAATATTCATTAACTAATTATTAAGCAATCTTTCTCTATATGACATCCTTTTCTACTTCTATCATATTATTAGACTTTATCATTTATTCTAAATTTTAAAATTCCTAATAATAATCATTCTCATTGTTAAATAGATCTTAACCTAATATATTTTGCATCCCTTGATCCGAATCTTATTCATCTAATAATTTTTTCAGTTTTAAATATTTTTCATTATACAATATATATGGGTTGTTAAATGTAGATAAAACATTGAATATCTCTCGAAGATTACCATCATTTTTTTTACACTTTCATATTATTATTATTATATATACTTCTCCTTGTTAAATATTCAAACAAATATCTTCTTCTGTCATTTTATTGTAATTTAATTAATTAAAATTTATTTCTCATGCTACCTTTCATATATCAATCATTTGATTTTAATAATTCTTAAATAAATATTCCAAAACATCTGGAAACAAATAAATAAATTAAATAATAAAAAATGCAACCTCCTGGAGAAGTATTCATTTATTTCATCTCTAGTAACCATAAGAAGAAGGTGAATAAAAGCCAAAAGAAGAATAGTAGCAACCCCAAAAGTAAGAAAAGCCTCCTGCCAAGAATTATTTAGACTTATCTAATAAGCCTATTCCACCTAATTCCACAGTGATCCACTTTGAAGTTTGTATAAATTGTTAAAAATCACATTCATTTTGTACATAACATGATGAATTACGATATGCTAAATTATATCATGATTTTAAGGAAGGTAACTTTTGTTAATATAAAATTATCTAGCTGTTGAAGCTGCAATTCCAAATTCATTTTGTGTTGTTAATTTTTCAACTAATAAACCATCCATTGGAGCATTTGAAATTACTCATTAAAGTAATACATTTATATCTAAAAAGATAAAATAATTTACTCTAAAAAAAATTCAGGTTTGTTTCCTGCTGTTGCTCCAACAGTTGATAGAATTAAAAGATTTCTTGATGATCTATAAAATGGAAAAGATGTTAAAGGCTATGCAACAACTAAAGAAAAGAAATAAGAGAAACCTATAGAAAAGAAATCAAAACCAACTTTTTAAGCATACATCAAAATGAAAGAAGAAGAATTTGCTAGATAAGAAGCTATTAGAGAAGAAAATGAGAGAAAGAGAAAAGAATAAGAAGAAAAAGAAGAAAAAGAAAGATAAGAAAGAGAAAGAATAGAAGCAGAAAATAAGAAAAAAGCAGAAGAAGAAGCTGCTAAGAAAGCTGAAGAGGAAAAATTGAAAAAAGAAGAGGAAGATAAAATTAAAGCTGAAGAAGCTGCTAAGAAAGCTGAGGAAGCTAAAAATAATCCTTAAAATTAGGAAGGTGAAAAACCTAATGAATAACCTCAAGGTGAGAAACCAGCCTAATGAATTATTAAAAAATAGATAAATAAGCAAATATAAATCTATATTTTATGTATTTTTTTTAATAATACTCAAATCATAATCTATCTGTTGAAATGGCATTAACTTTGATCCCATCTTATAATGAAATTACATAAACTCTATAAGTCTTATTTCTATATTTAATATCTTCAGAGGCAAATATTGGTTAATTTGTGACTTTAGAGAGTTAACCTTCTTTGAATGCCTATTTTAAGATTTTATTTTATAAAATCGTTTAAGATATTATTGATAAACTATCTCTTACTTTCAAATTTTTATAATAAAATGGAATATGAGGATATGGACTTTAACATTGTAATGATGATTAATGAGCAAGTGCAGCAATTAATCCATCAAAACTAACAAATAAGGTTTTAATAAATATTTCAGCTTCTTTATCTTATACAAAATCTTTAAAATATGGTAATTCTCTAACACTTTGATCATTTTAATTGATTGTTAATAATTCTAATCTAAGATCTTTCTCTGGAATGAAATGCTATTCACCATTTTCAAAAGTTTATTTTTAATAAATATTAATAATTTTAGAGTAAGTTTCATCATTTTTAAAATTAGCATTACCAGCATTCTAAAAAATAAATAAATAATATATACTAAACATTCTAAAATCCATTTATTGATTCTATCTCTCATATTAAATCCTCCTTTTATTTAGAAACTTAATGAATTTGGTAAATATGTCGGATCATATTAAATATGTTTTTCTTTTTTTTAAACTTTATGTTTTTTTTCAGGAATCACAAGATCTTCACTTTCTTTCCTAATTACATCATCAACTTTTATTGGTTAATGTTTAGTAATATTTGTAACTTTTGGGAATAATTAATGAATGATATTTTTTATTTCTTCATCATAAGTCTCATTATTTTAATTTTATAGATGAAGTTCTTTTAGACTTTTAAAAAATTAATTAAGATTTTTTTTTGAATCATTTGCAAATAAATCCAATAAATCATCTTCAATATATTCATGATCAATTTATAGATCATCATCAACAAATGGAAATTCAATTAGTCCATTTACTTATAAAGAATTAATTCTAAAGTTTTCAAATGTTTTAGTCTTTTTAATAAAAGATTGAATTCTTTCAAGTGAAGTACATGTTCTTTTCATGGCTGTAATAAGTAATTCATAAGAAAATGGCAATTTCAATTCATTATATGATTTTTTAGAATATGGAAATAGTATAATTTTATTGTAAAATTAACTACATTTTGATAGAATAACTTATGCTTCTTCTGGAGTATGATTATGTTCTAATATAATAACATAATTGTCTCTAATTTTGGCATCTTAAATATCACTAACAATTTATGTTTGATAATAAAATGATTAAAATGTTCTTGCAAATGTTGATACTCCAACTCCATTAATACATACAGGTATAATTAAGAATACATTTTCTGGGTTTTTTTAAGGATCTTCACCACTATACACTGGTATTCTAGTTAAAGTTTCAGGTTGATATGTTGACCAAGAAACTCTGTAATCTTAAATAGATTTTAATTAATTCCATTTGAAAGTCTTATTATTAAAAGTATTATGTAAAATAATAGTAACAAAGTCATTAAAATTAAATTTGATAGTTTATTCAATTTTATTATTTTATTCTAATATTTTTAAACCTTATTCATAGATGTTTTGATAAAACTTAAATGGTCTAGGAGGTTTGACTTATAAAGATTTTACAAATTATTTAAAATCTTTTTCTATATGTTATTCATTCAATAACATTGATTAAATGTGTTTGTAAATTAAATATTCAGCTGTATGAACAAGATAATATTAATCATTGAAATATAGAATAACTCCAGCTGATTCTAATTCAATATCACTTCTTTAAATTCTTTCTATATGTTTTTATAAGACTTTTAATTGTAATTTAAATTATGATGTTTTGGGATGAGGCAATCCATAAAAACAAAATAATTATTATGCTTATTCAAAATTGACATCAAGAATGCCTATGAATTAAAGGATGTCATCAGGATGATATATTAAAGATTCTTGATTTATTATATGTCCATATACTGTACGATTATGGAAATCAAATTTCAAATTATTGATTCTTTCTTCGGTGACTAAAAAAATAAGGAAATTTATTTACGTTGATTCAAAATATTAAACCATAATTCAGCTACTTAAACTGCTGCATCAAATTTTTAAAATGAGAATTCAGATAAATCATCAGATATTTAGGCTGCAATTGTAAGATTGTTACAATAGATTAACCAAGCATCAATTTCTTTTTAATATCCAATTTTAAACAATTAACCTCCAGGATAAGTCTAACTATATACAGTTTACTAAATTTATTATAATAATCTTACAACTAAATTATTTTCAATAGATTCTTTGATTATTTATTCTAAATTTGATTGAGTGGGAAATTAAACATCTTAAAAACCTAGAATTTCAATAAATAGATATTACCCCATAAAGTTTTGATGAGTTGATTCTATTCATTAAAAATTTATAATACTGTCTTATGATGATGAATCTAGAATAAATCAATAATTTATTTTACCTAATATTTAACATCATATATGACAAGATTTTCTATGAATAATTTATTTAGATCATAAATCTGTTAATCTTAATCATTACAATAATGTAAACTAAATTAATTAGGTGTTCATTATACAATTCATATGGATCATTGCTTTGGTATTATGACATTTATCAATATTAAATATTAAATTTATTTGTAGTATCAAAAATAAATGTTTCACATCAAAAACGAAGTTTGGAAATCTTCATAAAACTCTCATTTATTTTGTTGCTCAATTCTTCATTAAGATTTAAAATTTTCATTCTCTCACATAATTATCTAATAAAATAAAATAAATGAAAATACGCAATTGAATTAATTGAATTGTTTTCCAAAAATGCAGATTAAAGAGGGGATTTCTCTATTTCCAAAATATTTAGCAACTCTTACATAGAATTACTCTACTCACTAATAAATCCTTAATTTTATAAATTGATCTCTGAAATCTCAGATAATGAATCACTAGTTTCTAAATCAAAAATTGTATGAGCCATTCCATCCTTTGAATATTTCAAAGCCTGGAATAAATTTGAAAAAAACTATTCACTTATATTAATGAATTTATACTTCTTTCACTTCAATTGGTTCTTACTGCCATAGCTTGCTGAAATTCTTTTTGCTTGGATCCTTTAATGTAGTATATACTTAATTACATTTAGACTCTATTTATATAAAATGATCACTGGAGGAGGGTTTGAGTTCATTTAATTATATTATAAAACAATTATTTATTTATAATTAAATCATTCATAAATTCATAGAAATCATTGAAATCATTGAAATCATAGAAATCATAAAAATCATAGAAATCTCTCATTTAATATATCTATAACAATATAATTGGGAAATTCAAATATTCATTAAAGGATTTAAATTAATTATTTAGTTATCCATTTCCACTTAGATTCAAATATTATAATAAGATAGAAACATATATAAACAAAATAAAGTGAAAATCATAATCTCTTCTACTCTCTCATAAAGATTAACCATACTTTTCATTTAATAAGATCTTAATCTTAAAATAATCACTATGAGTCCACTCTCTCTTTGTCTCAGATTTCTCTAACATTTTAATAGCCTACATCATATATGATTATTTATACCTATTTCCAAGTAACAAATCTTCCCTTTATTCTTAATCTCTCTTCAGCTACTTTCTATCTGATATGATAATGAACTTTTTTTCCAAATGTTCTATTGTGTTTTTTCTCTAAATATTTCTTTACTTTTAGTTTCCTTTACATTTCTTTTTGATTAGCTTTTGTATTACACATTTATTAAACCCAATTTTCGAATCTTAATGTTTATGGATCATCTAAAATCTTATAATCTAAACCCATTTTTATTCGTTGAAGATCATCTTAATTAATGAAATTCAATATAAAGTTCTCTTAAGAATTATTTGGATAGTATCTCATATCTAAATTAAACAAATGTTAATCTGCATTAATTGGAGGAGGTAGAACTTTAGAAGGGAATTTTGGAGATGAAATGTGTTCATAACAATTTTCTGACTGTTCTGAAGATTCGTTCTATTCTGTAGTTGAACACTCATGATTGTTCTTTAGGTTAGACTCTTCATTCTCTACAAAGTAACTTGGTTTTTTGAATAACCCAAGTTAATGTTAACTAAATATGTTCACATTTGATTCTTCATCGTAAAAACTCTTCTTTTATTCCTCTTCGAACTCTGATATTGTATCGTATTAGACTTATAACATGTTTTATTAAGATATTAATTTTTAAAAAAAGGGAACACCGGAATTAAAATTTATGTATTAAATTTTATAATTACTTGTATCAGTATGACTCAGAGTATCTTTATAACTATTAAAACTAAATGTAATATTTCTCAATTCCTTATCTAACTCTTCTCTTTCTAAACTCTCACTATTATTATTAAAAATCTACTCTAAAACATCTATACATTAAAATTCAATTTTAAAGATAATCTAATTTAAATAACATTTAATAACTCTTATACTCATTGCCGAATATTATTACTCAAAAATCATATACATTACATCTAATCCCTTCAGCCACATATAAATTAATCAACTTTTAATAAAAAATATATTAATTCACATATTTTATAATTTTTAATCCATTTTAAAACATTATTAAATAAGCTAACCTGAAATGTTTTATCAATATCTAAGCATTACTCATAGATTTTGTATATCTAAACTTTATATTAAGAAATTCTAAAATTAATATTCTAATTTATTAGAAAATACATAAAATTTTTGAACTAAAAAGAAAAACAAAAAAATATAAGTATTTTTTTCCAATATAACTTTAAATTAAATTACTAAAATATATAACTCTAACGATAAGTATTTATATATACATTTTTTTACAGTTTCTTCTTAATTATTAAAGAATTGAAATAAAATAACACTAAAATTCATTAATCTATTATGATAATTTTATAATACTTTATTTTAATTCTTATATTTATTATAACATAAAATATTAATATTTATAAAACATTATGCAACTAATGATGCTAACAAATATAACATTCATATTAATTGTAAAATTAAATTTAGCTGTAAATAAAAAGCATAAAAATTTGTTTAAACTTTTAATTTCTCTTCTCCTGTCTTTGATATGAATGTGATTTTTTTATTTTTCTTTATAATATAGTACTATTTGAATTAATTTCATTTAGTTCATTATTGATATTAAATTATAACATAAAGTATTTGATTCATCTAATACTCAAATAAAGCTATATTTATAATCGGCTCGAATAAAATTTATAAGTTTATATTATTTAAAATCGCTGATGAAGATGAATACTTAAAAGTTCTTAAATCAAGAAATTTTTTCTAATTTAATATTAAAAAGTATTCAAGAAATTAATACAATTAGCAAAACTCTTAGAAAAATAAGGTTAATTTTAGTAATCGTTAGATCATTGGAATTAAAAAATTTTAGAAAATTTGTAAGATATAAGATTTTTTGAAGCAAAATGTATTTTTATATTTATTATATAGGTGCTACTTTAATGAGGATTGGTAAAATAGATGAAATTATAAATTGTTGGGATTTTGGAATAGAGTAAAACTAAACAAATGTGTAATTTTATAAAGCAAAAAGTAAATCATAAATGTATTTAGTAAATGCACTATTTAAATTGGGTAAGGAAATAGAAGTACTTGAATGTATTTAATTATGGATACATTTAAATAAAAATAGTAGTTAATTTGAGAAGGAGCTTTCTTTAATTTCAAGATATAAATTTGAAAGTAATAAAGTTAGTGTAATTAATTAGCATGCATCAACAAATTTGATTAAACAATTGAAAAGAAAGAGGAATAAGATTTGATAATAAAAAATAAAATTTTGAGCCCAAATAACATTAAAGAATATATAGTCTATAGTAAATTAATAATAAATCTAGCTAATGTTTTATAAAAGTAGGGAAAGTCAAAAGAGATATTGTAATGTTGGGATTTAGGAATTATGAATAATATTCATGATATTGATTTTTATTATGCAAAAAGTAGATATATTGATAAAATAAATTACAATAGCAATGTTTTTAGAATAGTAAGATAATATTTAAGCTGCTATTGAATGCTGGAAATTAGGTTTCAATGATAATTAAAATGTATTTAAGTTTTATGAAGGCTATTGTATATATTAATTAAAAATAATTAGCAAATTTGTTAACAAAATTGAAAAGATTATAAGAAGTAGTTGATTGTTGGTAATATGGAATTAAGCATAATTAACATCAAATTGCATATTATAAAAGAACGGGTATTTGTTAAGATTGATTATATTTCAGTAAATGCATTACTTGAATTAAAAGAGGAACAAAAAGCTATTGATTGTTTAGATATAGGAATATGTTCAAATATAAATAACTTTGAATTCTATAGATACAAATGTTTTTGAAAGATTATATATTTAGGCTAAATCTTAAAATAATTAGGAAGATAAGAAGATTGTCTTAAATGTCTTGAAAGTGGAATACAGAATAATATTTAAAATATTTCCTTTTATTAAGCTCATGGTAATAGATTGAAATTAATTTTAGCTAATGAGTTACAGAATTTACATAGAATAGAAGAATAACTTTAATGTTGGTAATTTGGTATAGAAAATTAGAAAGATTGTTTAAGTTTTTATAACAATAAATGTATAATTGAATTTATAAACTTCAGTTAATGTTTTATGGGAATTAAAAAGATATGATGAAGCTCTTTAATTATGCGATTATGGAATTCAAAATAATCCTTAAGATGAAAGTTTTTATTCATAAAAAGGTTAGCAATTAAATTATTTTAGCATATGCTTTAACACAATTAGAAAAAGAAGAAGAAGTTATAAAATGTTGGGATGAAGGAATTATTTAAAATCCTCATAAATTAGAATTCTATAAAGAAAAATGTATTTGATATCCAAAATTATAGGTAATGTATTAATGAAATTTGAAAACTTAGGAGAAGCAGATTCAAGTTGGTTATCTGATAAAATTCCAGATGATGAATTAATTAATAATGAATAAAGTATAAGAATATCCAAATTATTAGGTGAAACATTAATATTAACAGAAAATGCTTAAAAAGCTCTTCACTGTTGGGATTAAGGTATATTAAATAACTCTAGTGATATTGATTTTTATAAAGAAAAAAGTAAATAACAAGATATGATATTTTAAGTTTGTCTGCTAGAAAAATTGGGAAGAAATTAAGAAGCTATTGCTTGTCGAATGTAAGGAATCTAAAATAATAAAAATAATCCAGTGTTTTATGAGATGCTTGGTACTTTACTTAATAGATTAAATAGCTAAATATTATCAAAAATAAAATCGAATTCTTGAATCCATAAAATTTCTTGATTAAGGGATAAAAATTGATAATTGTTCTGATAATTTTTAATTATTGATCATGAAATGTTTTTATTTATAAAATAATTTAGGCAAATCCTTATTTGAGTTGAAATAATTTAGAGAAGCATTAAAATATAATCGTCTTTCGGAGAGTTATGGTTTCTTGAGAAGAAAGTTCAAAAATAGTTTATGATAATTATTAAAAAC